TGTTTTGTTTTTGTTTTGTTTTTTGCCTTATTTTGTTTTGTTATGTTTTGCTTAGTTTTGTTTTTTGTTTTGCTTTGCTTTGCTTTTTGTTTTGTTTTGTTTTGTTTCGCTTATTTTTTTGTTTTTTGTTTTGTTTTGTTTTGCTTTTTGTTTTCTTTTGTTTTCTTTTGTTTTGTTGATTTAAATAAGTCTCTGATGTCCCTAGAATGTGTATGTGAAGTTTCAGCACAAAAATACCCCACATATAATGTTTTATAACTCTTTAAAACTGCCCCCTTTAGGCCTTGATCCTAGTTGTGCCATTTTGACGTCGTTTTAAATTCCAATGAGATTGAGCTCTTTTTAAAACAGGGCGGAGATACAAATGCCTGTGTCAGCATAGTGGCACATTCAAAAACAAGACTAATGTCCTATGCTAATAAGGGAGAGATTGTCACTATGGTACAAAAACATTTTATCAATATTTAACATTAGAAGCTAGTTACATTCATATACTGTTGCCACATACTGTAACTATGTTTAAACCCCTTATAAAAATTATTTTTACATAATAGGTCCTTTTTAAAGCTTGACTATCAACTGATAACCTCTAGATGACATAAAATTTGCCTATTTCCTTTAAGTACCTTTAATGCTAAAACCTGTTCACTGCCATTGTGATATCACAAAATACAGCGCCCTCTGTTGTTCAAAATTTGTATTGTGAATGATTTACGTCCCAAACCAACCTAACTGGTCACAATTGAATTGAATTTCACCCAGCTCGTAGTCTATTGTTTCAACCATCCATGATTTCTGCCACGAGAACCCCAAAACCAGCTTCAGATGTTAGCATTCGCCATGTGATTGCTGTGTGAATGTAGATCAGCGCAGTTAATCAGAGCAGTGAGGTTAGCGATGTGATATTTGTATGTGTGTATATGTGTGTTGGCAGGGGGCTGATGGTGTCTACAGGCGGGTAACTGTGCCTCACATGAGTAAGAAAGAACAGATTTGTCCCTGCTGCTAGCGCTGATGATAGCTATCTCCATGCATCCAGACAGATGGACCGTGTGTGTGTTTGTGTGTGTGTGTGTGTGTGTGTGTGTGTGTGTGTGTGTGTGTGTGTGTGTGTGTGTGTGTGTGTGTGTGTGTGTGTGTGTGTGTCCATGCGCTTGTGTGTGTGTGTGTGCTCAGAATGGAGACCACCACCACAGAAAAAGATCCTTTGTGTGTGCATCTGACTCGCTTTCTCTTTTGTCCTTATCTATTTATCACTGATGGGTTGAACTATAAACACCGGATGCTGGGTTATCACTGTCTTTTGTACATTTCTACCTTTTTCTCCTCCTGCATTTGGAGTGGGAAGAGAGTTGAAGGCCTTCATATTTCTGTGCTTTCATTGAAAAGCACAATAGGCTGGATATTAGCATTTGGGCCAATCTCCTAATGCAGTTAAAGAGGCTGCAGGGGAGACAAACAGAAGGACGGGAGGCTTTTTTTTTTCATGGAGTTTTTTTTAACCTGATTGTCAGATACAGTAGGATGGGGATTGGAAAGAGTGGTGTTTTGAGGGTTCGTCCAGGTGAAGTGCCCAGTGATTGAGGCATGGTGCTGGAGTCTGAACTTACTGTCCTGCTCTCTCTTATGCACAGTGATTACATCATCGAGGAGAAGAACGCTATGCTCCAGAAGAAGGAGAATGAGGGATTCGGCTTTGTTTTGCGAGGAGCAAAAGGTAAGATGAACTTAATTTTTTAAAAATGTGTTTATTTATTTGAAAGGGACATGCACAACAATACATTGGCCTTAAAAAGGAAATGTGTTTCGCGCTAGGCTTTAGCAAGAACTGCTTTTTTCTACCTGCAGTCCCTGGACAGGTAGATCTTTAAACACTCAAAATTAAATAATAAAATAAAATAATTAAAAAATATATAAAACCAAATAAAATAAATTAAATAGAAAAAAATATATATATATATGAATGTATATATATATATATATATATATATATAATTAAATTAAATATAAAAAATTAAAATAAATAAAATATCAAATAAAATTATAAAAATATAAAAATAACTAAATACTAAAAAATAAAATGAAATAAACTAAAAAGTAAAATAAAATAAAAAATAAAAAATAAAATCATATTAAATTAAATTTAAATAATTTAATTTCAAAATAAAATAATACAAAATAAAATCTAAAATAAAATCTAAAATAAAATTATTAAAATAATGAAATTAAATACAAAATAAAATGCAATACATTTAAGAAATAAAAAATAAATAAAATAAAATAATAAAGTAAAATAAAATAAAAATAATAAAAAACATGAAGACATCTTACAACTTAACCTAAGATTTTTCTTCATACTATTGGGTTGTGAAAAAAAAAAAGAGGATTTTCACAAACTGGCTAATTCCATTTAATTTGAAATGCAGATTTATTGCAAATGCATTTAAATAGGTTGGTTATATAATGTGCATGGCCTCAGCCAGATCAACTTAAAAGGAAAGGAGGTGATTGTATTTTAATTGAAGACCAGGGTTTTTTTTATATATATATATTTTATAATTACTTAATCATATATTTTGCTTAAATAATAAAAATAATAATAAAAATAATATTGATGATAATGGTAACACTTTACAATAAGGATGTATTTGTTAATTTATGTTACTGTATTAAATAACATGAAAAATACATTTCTTACAGTGTTCATCTTCATCTTTGGTAACGATAGTTAATGAAAATGAAGTTGTTCATTGTTAGTTCATGTTAACGCAAAGTGCATTAACAAATGTTAACAAGTATAGATTTTGGATTTTAATAATGTGTTAATAAATGTTGAACAATGATTAATAAATACACTACAAGAAATGTTCATTATTAGTTCATGTAATTAAATACATGAATGAAACGATGTAAAGTGTGACCATAATAGTAATAAATAATGTTGATGATGATAATAATATTGAAATTATATAATAATACTGAAATTAAAACTCAATTTTGCTAATATAAGCATATTAATAATGTTAAACTGTCTGTAGTAGTAATGATTAATAACATTTAACCAGTCAAAATCCTAATTTTATAGTTGTAAAATATCAATTTTGCCTTCATCATTATTACTATTGTTATTATTGATTAAAAATATTTATCTATTGTTATATATATTATATATATATATTGTAAAAGCCAGGGATTGTGAGTTTATTGTATTTGTATGAGTTTATTGAGGGATTGTATTTGTTAACATCTATATACTATTATTTTACCACATTTGCGTCTATTTAGTGAATTCAAATTATAATTACAGACCACAATGCATGTCAGAGCAACAGATGCATTTCTGGTGACAGCTTAAATTAACAGAAATGTCACAACATGAACTTGATGTTTGGTGTAACATACAGTGAAGAATCGCCACCATTGTTAGACATTTGTGTTTGACAACGTATGGTTTAGTTTGTTTGTCAGTTTATACTGTAAGTGTGTCTGTGTGTGTGTGTATATCCATGTCTGCGTCTGTGCATGTGTGTTTGTGCATGCCCAGTCTCTGGGGTGGCACCATTCTGTGTAGAAGTTATGAGTTCCTAATGCCATCTGTTGCCCACATGGTGCATTCATATCTCTTATGAGTATGAGTTTTGGCTTGTTTCTTTAATGCTTTCATAATTCCTATACTATGACTTTCGCTTAGATAATAAAGAGCAAAACACTTACCGCTTATTTACAGAAATAGTAGGTAAAGTTTGTCATTTTATACAGTTTTTAACATGCATACACTGAGTAATAAATCAGATAATAAGCCATTTATTGATTAGTTGTAGACTCGAAGCACTACATTATCTTACGCATGGATTATTGTATGTGTGTGTGTGTGTAGCGGAGACACCCATTGAAGAGTTTACACCCACACCTGCCTTTCCTGCACTGCAGTACCTTGAGTCTGTGGATGTCGAGGGCGTGGCCTGGAGGGCGGGGCTTAGAACTGGAGACTTCCTCATTGAGGTATAACATTGATTTGACCACTGTTATACATGTACTATGTCTGCCATACGCTTGTGAAGTTCTGTCATGTAAAGTACTGTTTATGGGTCCAAGCCTTTACTCATGTGAATGGGCCTTCAAATTTTTAGGTTTATCCTTAGCGAATGTCGTCATAATTGGGTAAAATTGCGTACTCACATTATGTACATTTGCCTTGAACAGTGATGAAGCCCGCTTGCCCCCTCTCTCCCGATGGTCTGCACTCACTCACAAACATTAAAAGTTGGATTTCATAAAAAATAAAAAAGCATTAAGGTCAGCTATCTTAGGTGTAATTTGCTTTCAAACTATTTTTTGCAGTTCAGTTTTAGCGATCTTCATGTTTACAATCATGCTCCATTCGCAGTGCACTTTGAAAACTGTGATGTCATTTTGAACACAGCTTCATGGCGAAAGCTATTGGTGAAAAGCGTCTGCTAAATGACTAAATGTAAATGTAAAATGACCTATTATTTAAAAGCGGAATTTATCTTACGTCTCCAAAGCTTGTGAAACAAAAGCATACGTTAATTCTTTTAATTTATAGTAGGTTATTTATTAAGTATCTGTACTGTATATGACATGGGCCTGCTAGTTAGAACTTTCTGCAGTGGTTTACAAGTGTTAAATTGTAAAAGTAGACTTTAAAAAAAATAAATAAATAAATATTACATTTAAATTTATAATAAATAGCCTCATTGTTTATTTATATGATTTATATGATATTAGAATATACGTGTTAGCTTTTGTAAGTGATATGTTTTAGAATAGAATTTGTAATGTTCAACTTCTCAATAATAATAGTAAAGCAAACATTGGCCCTCTATGTGCCATTTACATATATTTCAATTAATATGGAAAGCGAGTGCATGTTTTTACCACATCTATATGGATTTTATTTTAAATGCGTGTGTGTGTAAAACAATATAATATGCACAAAGAAGTTATAGGTTCTTCTCTTAAGAAGTAGTTACTCCACCCAGTTTAGAGCATCATTATGGGCGTTTTACATTATAACTAACGTGGTTCAAGCGATGGATCTGAGACGGAGAAACTATGCATTTTGGGAAACACTCGTCACTACATCATTCTTTTCCCAAATGATGCATCATACCATGATAGTTCAGCCGCGAGTTATGTTGTTGTTTGGGAAACGCACCCCGGAATGACAGTTCCTCATTAAATTTAAAAAGGTACCCTCAGACTGACCACATTTCCAACAGTGGTTATTTTTTATTAATCCTATCCTATGCAGTCTTACTGGGGTCCAATAGAAATAAGGTAATGTATAATAAATAATATGTAGAGAAATAAATCTGTAAAATAGCAAAATAAAAATGTAATATATGACACCAACCCAAAACAATCTATCACAATATATCACTTCAAACTATTAAAAATGTTTATAAAAGACACTTTTTCTAACATTTTAACATTTAGAAATTGTTGGAAGAAAAATCAAGGTCCCAAAATGCAATTCAAAAGCATAAATAAAAAATAAAAACATGAAAACCGCTAATTTATGGTTATTTTTTACAGTGTGGATATAAACATTAAAACAATAGCACACTGTGAACATATATTTGTACCATTTGTGGTTCTGTATTAGCATCTTGTAGAGCGCTTGGACCTGGAAACTGTGACGCAGTATATCAGACTTTACAAGTGGATTCATTGTGCTTAGATCTTCAGCGCATAAATGTATTGTGGTGTTTGCAGCTGTGTCATAACCTTGAGTCTTTTCTGAGATGTGGTAAGTGTGCATGAGTAGCAGAAACAGTTCTGATTTGTTTGTGATTGGTCTCTCAGGTGAATGGTGTAAATGTGGTAAAAGTGGGACACAAGCAGGTGGTGTCACTCATCCGGCAGGGCGGGAACAGCCTCCTGATGAAGGTGGCATCAGTCACACGCAAGCCAGAGTCTGAGGAGACAGTCAGGAAAAAAGGTAAGGTGCTTGTCTGCCTAAAACAAAACAGATCAGGGATTTTAAAACTTTTTTATTTTAGTTTAGTTTATTTAGTTTTGTTTAGTTTTGTTTTTAATTTATTTATTTTAATGTATTAATTAATTAATTATTAATTAATTTGTTGTTTTGTTTATTTTATTTTAATTATTTTATTTATATTAATTATTTTATCCATTTTGTTTTATTTTATTTATTTATTTATTTTATTTTTATTTTCTTTTTTTTTTGTTGAATTAAATTTTATTAAATTTTCTTGTATTCTAGCAAGAAAATTGCTAGAATTGTCAGATGATTGATTGACTGATTGTCGAACTCAAAGAAATCAAGAAAAATCCAATAAAAATTATAATTTTATTCTTATTTTTTTTTCTTCATTTTTGTTAACATTTTAAAATAGAAAAATGAACACACGTTTTTTGTTTTAAATTTAAAAAATTTAAAGTTTTCTGTTTTAATTATTAATAGTTTTATTTATTTACATTTGTATTTGATTAATCAATTTAATATTAACATAATAAAATGATTAACAATATAATTAATAATAATATAAAATAATTAATAATAATATAATTAACATAACATAATCAAAAATTATTATTAAAATTGTTTCATATTCGAGCAAAACGTTTTATCCTTATTATCATTGATGATAATAATTGTAATGTGATAGAGATGCTGACAACGAAGTGCGGTTCCAAACGCGGATTTATTAACAAGAATGGTCAGGCAGGCAACAGTCAACACAGGAGCCAATGCAGATCATCCAAAAGGCTAGTCATAGACAGGCACATGGTCATTACAGGCGACAGGCAGAATAAACATAAAACACGGCAAAGGTCAGCAATGGAAAGACAAGGCAAGGCAAAAACGCGTCGTAATGTTCACAGACAGTTAAACAAGACTCAGATGTGTGTGTGTGTGTGTGTGCGCTGTATTTAAAGTCCTTGTAATCAGTTTATAACGATCCTCCGGCTGTGTGTGTTTGTGCGTGTAATCAAAATTAAACAGGAACCGGTGTGTACAAAGTGCATGATGAAATATGTAGTCCATGTAATGGCGGATTTGTGGGACGTTTGTGTTCTGCAGCCGCTAGATCGCTAATAATCATAACAGTAATATGTTTATTATTGGTTTCCTTTTTAATTTAAATTGCTTCATTTTCAGACAGAAATGCAAATATTAATATAATTACTATTTAAACCAATTAAATTGTTTGTTTGTTTGTTTGTTTAAACATTTTCTTGCTTACATTTTTTAATTTTTCAGGTACTTCAAGTGTGTTTAACATTGTCTCTCGAGAATATCACACTGTCAAGTCTGTATTATTGTAAATGTGGTGTTGTAGTGAAGTCATGACTCGAGGAATGTGCTGACTGCTGGTTTTGTTTGTTTATTGTGGGCGTGGCTTCTGCAGGCAGACAGAAGAGCTCTTAAAGGCATGGGTTGCTAGGGAACCAGCCTTTGATGCTCTGCGCTGTATGTGATGATCAGACAGAGAGAGATCTTCTCTCAGCAGGACGAATCCAGTCTCAAACATAAGGGAAAGAAATGCTGGAAGAATGAATTAAGCAGCGCGAGTATAAATAATCACAGCCGACCATGATTGTAATGACTGTGGTAGTCTGAGGAGAAAACTTCAGGAGCATTAACTAAATGACAGGGTCGTTTGTCACCAGAAATTGCGATGACTGAGCAGATTGAAGTGTCGAAGTGTTTTCTGTGCCGCCTTTCTTCATACACACATTCTTACAACCCACTCCATCGTTTAGCAGATGACTGAGTTTGCCAGTGGATTTATTAGAACTAAAGCAAAACCTCGAAACCCAAAAAGGAAATCTATTCAGTATCCATGTAAACTAATCCTCACTTTTATCTGCAACTCCCACACAATCCGAACCCTTCATTGACCTGTGTTTGCCTTTAGTGGATGATGGAAAACATAGTAAGTTGTTAGCAGACACTTTCGTCCAGTCTGCCTTAACAGGGAAGGATTCGATAAAGATTATTGCTTAGTTTCGTCCAGATAGTGCTTTTAAAGGGCCATGAAACCCCCTCGTTTCAGCAGGGTGTTTTCACACCTCTACTTTCGAAAAAGTCAGAAAAGTGGGCGCGTCCAGCTCTGTTTAGGGGGGAGTGTCGGAGAAACTAAAGTGGGAGGGTGTGGGAGTGTCTATTTGGGCACGCGCGAGTTTCAGAGTCAAAATACACACCCACACAGACAGGAGAAAGCGATGGTGTTTAACCTACATGGACATCTGTAGTCAAATTATTTGCCAAATTATTAAATGTTGGACTTTAACTGCAGTTTGGCTCTTTCATTCAGGGAATTCATTCATGCCCCTCGCGACAAATGAGATATTTGATTCGAAGATCTGCTCTAAGCGTGTATTTTTCATGCAATGTTTGATACCGCACGGCGAATGACAGAAAAAAAACTCAGCATTTCCCGGAAACTTAGATGCACACGGCAGGTAGCGTCAGAAAGCCGCGTGTGTTATTCCGGTCACAAAATGCGGTGCTAACATGTTTGCACTCAGTGCAATAGTTAACTTAATTGATACGAACAAACTGAATATACAAAGAGCACTGGTCGCTCACTTACCAAATCTGTAGAGACAGGACAATCACCAGCAACTAGAGCCGCGTCTTTATGAAGAGAAGACTACATCCGGATTCCGGATTTCAGCGTTTGCAGATGAGAACAGCTCTCAGGTAAACAATAATCCCCCTTAGACACGTAAATTATTGTTGTCGAGCGTCGCGTACACTGTAATCCACACGTGATCCAGATGAGCTCTCACAGAGAGAAAATGAAAACGAAACTTAATGGCAGCAAACTGTAAAAGCAACACTTCACGCTTGTTTTGCCAACACAACGTGGCGTCTCTGTCGTGTAAATACGGTGACACTAATGAATATTAATGAAGTTGCACAATAGAGCGCGCTGATTGGTTTGAACCAAGCCTTACTCATGCATTAATGCATCACACTGTAAGACGTAATAAGGCACACTCTGGCACAGACGTCCAGTCTGCACGCTGGAATACACGCTATTATGTCATGACCGTGACGCAGCTTCAAAAATTCGTTTCAAACAGGAAGTACGAATTTGCTTGAAATAACGCAAAAACAACCAATTTACACTTTTTAGTGAAATATAGGTGTCCTAATAGTGTTTTTAGCAGTGTGGGACACATATACGACTGTCAACAGCTCAAAAAATGTGTTTTGGTGTTTCGTGACCCTTTAAAGGGGGTTAATTGGGGCACAACTTCTCCATTAAAAGTTCTAATGAACATGAAAATGCAACCCAGGCTTATTGTGGATACGTACCCCTGTCTACATTTCTGGAGAGCGCAAACTATGAAGCCAGAGGTACGTCTGTCTGTTGCGTCTTTAAAACGAATGCTACAGGATGGTATGACGCCGGATACAATGTTTGTTCCTTTTCATGCTTCCATCTGATCGCTTACCTCCATGTGGACAGCTTTTCCGGCCTTACCAGTTTGACTAGTGGTTCTCCGCGTAAGTCGGGGGACTTAGGACGAAGATCTAAGTTGACTGCAACGAAGGCGTTTGAGTCAGGCAAAGAACGGTTCTAGAAACCAGATAAAACAAAACCAATAAATAAATAAATAAACAACAGTCTGAAAACGTGGTCAAATCACACTGCTCCAATGGCTTTTCTTTTTATAGACTGCTTTTTAAAACACTATCGGTAGGGTTGAGGCATGGGTGGGTTGGTCAGTGTGTCAGTCAACAGCAAGCTAAGCTGGTCGGCTGAAGTGTATATTGTGCCCTATGGTGGATTTACACAAGAAGAGGACGCGTGAGAGAAATTTGAGATCAACAAAAAGCTTACATAGCGGCCTCTGCCGGATCTGCAAAAACAAAAACTGCAAGAACACATACCTCCGGTTAGAAATGTAGACCTGAATACCTATCCGCAATGAGCCTGGGTTGTGAAAATGCATGCCTCAGTATAGACCAATTACCAACCTACGTCACACATGATGTCCCACGGGCCCCCGGTTGCAAAAAAAGACAGGCTGCAATATTAAAGGTGGTGTTGTGCGGTAGGATGCCAAAATCGAAGGGAGCTGAATGAAGTGACGACCTTATTAGAAATGCAGGACTCTCCAGTTCTCATGTTATATCAGGTAGGTTCACGCTATGCTAAATGATACATGTCACTCATTTTTGATTGCAGAAATGATTTCAGCAAAAACAGTTACATATTAAACTGCGGAAACTGAATGCTCAAAATGAAACGTGAAAGTGTAAGTTATTAAGGTAAACTTGGTTTTATATTCACACATTCATTCAGTGACAACTTGTGACACACTCCCTATATTGTTTACCACGGCACTTTGATTATTTGGTCTGAAATAACCTACAAGTGTGACTTGTAACACACATTAACACTATTTATTTGACTGTAAGCAATGTTGTACTTTGATAGTCATTGCCTGCTAATATGATTTCGCTATTTAGAGTTTGCAAATAATACTTTAATGAAATTATATTATTAAGGAGAAAGTCTGAATGTGCGAATATAAAACCAACTTTACCTTTACGCCTTCTTTTCTTGTCTTTGGCTGGACAAAATCTCGGTTTTTAACAATACATAGTTTTGAAACTGGTAATCATGAAGCATTATTTCTTGCACATGACCACACAGAACAATATTTTTGGCATCCAAAGACTTGTAGGGCTTTAACTTCCCTCTTGTAAAATCACTTGGAGCTTCAATGAGATTGTATATTTCAGGCTGGATGCTTGGTCATTTTGTCTTATCCAGTATTCATGGGAGGGTGCTATCGCAAATGCACCTGTCAGATGAAAGCTGCTCACTTCAACGTTAATTTTGCAGAATCGCTGTGCTTATCACTGGGTGACGAGCTGTTATAATACGCTGAAAGCATTATGTAAATAAAGTATATACAGTATATAATCAATAGAACTTATTTCTTAGACAACAACAAACTCTGTACCGCATCGGATGTCATTCCCTCGCTGTAAATGCTAGCGCTCCCGATTTTTTTTCTGCCACTTCCCTGTGCACACATCCTGAATGTTTATAAACATGGTAATTGGTCTATACATTTTTGCAAAACATAAAATACATTGCTTCTGGTACATTTCTTTGCAAATTCCAGATGACAAATCCACTAGAAGGCACCGTATACATTTTTGTATGACTTAGGGTTTGTAGATGCATCACCTGCTTGTATATTTCCATGAGAAGGCTGGTCTTGTCATACAGATCATCAGTGAACCACTGATCTAAACCCCTCCCTAAACCCAACCAATAGTATTTTCCAAAACAAACGTAAGATAAAAGCATTTAGTGCATTTCCATGTAGATTTATCTTGATTTTACGTCACTCTATTATGGGACCTGAGCGTTTTGCAGCACCATACAAGGTAAGCTACTAAACAGACCACACCACAGGAGTTGTCCATGTTTGAGAAAGTGGAGTTTAAGTCTGGTGCATACAGAGAGAAGAGGGTTTTACATGTGGATTGAGCTGCGTCAGTTGGCATATCTGTGTGGAGTTTGCATGTTCTCCCCATGTTGGTGTGGGTTTCCTCCGGGTGCTCTGGTTTCCCCCACTGTCCAAATGACATGCGCTACAGGTGAATTGGGTAAGCTTAATTGCCCGTAGTGTGTGTGTGTGTGTGTGTGTGTGTGTGTGTGTTTCTGTGTGTGTGTGTGTGTGTGTGTGTGTGTGTGTGTGTGTGCGTGCGTGCGTGTGTGTGTGTGTGTGTGTGTGTGTGTGTGTGTGTGTGTGTGTGTGTGTGTGTGTGTGTGTGTGTGTGTGTGTGTGTGAATGAGAGTGTATAGATGTTTCCCAGTGATGGGTTGCAGCTAGAAGGGCATCTGCTGCGTAAAACATATGCTGGATAAGTTGGCGGTTCATTCCGCCATGGTGACCCCAGATTACTAAAGGGACTAAGCCAAAAAGAAAATGAATGAATGAATGAATGAATGAAGTTGCCATGAAACAGAAATTAACATTGTTCTTTTTTGACATACATCCACTTAAAAACTGTCCTGAAATTAGAAAAAAGTAGGGCAGTGCATAATTTCGTCATTTGAAAACCGATTAGATGGTTGGAAGATGGATTTTGAAAACAATATGAAAGAAGACTGATGAATGGATGAAGGCAGAGCAGAAACAAGACACACCCTGATAGCTCCGCCCTAAAAGCATTCCATGTGACCAGAAATGAAGAAAAGTCATTTCGAGGGTGGATAGAAGGTTATAATAGTTGATTAAAGACTCTGAGGGCAAATAAATTTTTACAAAATAAAGAATTGCACAGATACATCGTTTATAACAAGCACTACTATATACATATAGAAATAAGAAGAGCAAATTTAGAATTTAATCCGACATAAAGTTTGAAATAGTGCTGCACAATATATCGTTTCAGCATCGATATTGCAATATGCGAATGCACAATAGTCAAATCGCAGGATGCAATGTCAAACCACTATTTTAATTGACCAACCACATTTCAAAACATTCGCGATTTGTCAGTGCAATGTTTGTCCATCAATGTATGAAACAAAAATGTTAAAAATTATGTGTGTTTTAGGGCCTGTGTAAGGATTTCAAGTCAGTTTAAAGTATTCAGGCATAGGAAATTACGTTTCTTTAAGAGAGATTAAATGGTCAGAACCTGGATAGGAGACCACATGGGAAAGCCATGTTGCTGCCAGAAGTGGTGTTAGTGAGACCAGCAGGGGGCGCTGAACCTGTGGTCTGAGTGGGTCCTAACACCCCAGTATATTGAAGGGGACTCTATACTGGTCAGTGATTGCTGTTTTTTGGATGAGATGTTTAACCAAGGTCCTAACTCTGTGGTCGTTAAAAATCCCAGGATGTCCCTCAAAAAAGAGTAGGGGTTTAACCCCGGCATCCCAGCCAAATTTGCTCACTGGCCTCTGTCCATCATGTCCTCCTAACCATCCCCATATCATAATTGACTTCATCACTCTGTCTCGGTCTGATGTGCAGTCTGGTGCAATATGGCTGCCGTCGTGTCATTCAAGTGGATGCTGCACACTGGTGAAGGATGAGGAGATTCCCACCAAAAATGTGTAAAGTGCTTTGAGAGTCCAGAAAAGTGCTTTATAAATGTAAGGAATTTTTATTATTATTAATAATAGTTGTATTTGTGTATAAGTATGTGATGAAGATAGTGTGCTTTTACAATTTAGTGCATCTGATAATTGCTAGACTTCCAGAAATCATAACGCACTGCGTATTTTATTTGTACAGTATCGTTACCCTACTGTATTTATCAATGTTTGGGATTTGGTTTACTATATTCCACGCAAATACCCTACGAAATCATCCCGATGAACTTAAAATTATGAATTCTTTCCGAAAAAGACCTATTCATTTCATCTAGTGAAATTAAACTCATACTTATAACTCAACTTATAAAAATAAGATATGGCAATGTTAGTTTTTCCAATATCGTGCAGCCCTAGTATAAAATGCATCCACCACATTTATGTTTAAATGCATTTGGCTGGCGAGGCAGTGGCGCAGTAGGTAGTGCTGTCGCCTCACAGCAAGAAGGTCGCTGGGTCGCTGGTTCGAACCTCGGCTCAGTTGGCGTTTCTGTGTGGAGTTTGCATGTTCTCCTTGCCTTCGCGTCGGTTTTCCTCCGGGTGCTCCAGTTTCCCCCACAGTCCAAAGACATGCGGTACAGGTGAATTGCGTAAGCTAAATTGTCCGTAGTGTATGAGTGTGTGTGTGAATGTGTGTGGATGTTTCCCAGAGATGGGTTGCGGCTGGAAGGGCATCCGCTGCGTAAAAACTTGCTGGATAAGTTGGCGGTTTATTCTGCTGTGGCAACCCTGGATTAATAAAGGGACTAAGCTGACAAGAAAATGAATGAATAAATGAATGCATTTGGCTGGAGCTTTCATCCAAAGCCTTTTGCATTGCATTAAAGTTATACATTTAACCAGTTCATGCATTCCCAAGTCATCAAACCTATGACCTTGGCGCAGCCTTCTCTGCAGCTTGCATCAGAAATGAACAAATCCACACAATCAGGTAGAAGTGATAGCTTATTTAAACCCTATCACCAAAGCAAATTCCTACTCCAAAATCTGTTTGTCTGATAAGAACTATTGTTTTCTCACTTGACAAAATCACAGTCACCTGCAAAGTTATTGTAAGGTTATTGCGTAACTCTGGTCTATGCAAACTATCACACACTCATACACACAACTGATGAAGTAATAATGGAGTGTCTGTTGTTAGTTTTGTGGCTATATCCTCCCACACACACATACAAACTCTCTCTCACTCACACACACACACACACAGATTCTCACAGTTTAAATGCACAAACCCAGGCCTTGCTCCTGCCAGAGTTTCCATGGTTACTACAATGCATGTTTGAAGTAAGTATTGCATTAGTGCCTTGGTATTTCTCTGCCGTCTCTCTCTTTCTCTCTCTCTTTCCAGCTCCACTCTGGTCTGCAGGGTTGTTAGCTGAAGGAGTGAGGAGTTTGACGCCGATGTTACTGAGACCACACAAGTGTCTAATCTCTGTTCGTTTTCCTGATGCTTCTTTTATCGCCGATCGGGAGTTTATAGTATGCGTTGGATATAAAGCTTCAGGTTTCATTTTTGAGAGACACAAAGGAAAACTCGGCCTCCTTTTAGGCTGTAAGAGGATGAGCGAAGGCTTTTGGGAGACAAGTGTTTCTACCATCCGAGAGCCAGCACGAAAGAACATTGGTTTCTGGTTGCGCATGTCTGATAGTTGCATGATTTTATGTCGCATGTCAGGGAAATAAGGAGAGAAAGATTTTATTCGTGGTTGCCTTAGTGTGGTACGTTGAGCTCTTCGGATGAAGATGGTGAAAAAGCGCTGGCAGTTGCCGATGGGCAGCAGTCGTGAAGGCCCACCGCCACGCCATCCCATCTTCTCATCTACTCCTTGCCTTTCCTCCACAGCGCCCCCGCCTCCTAAAAGAGCACCCAGCACCACCCTCACCCTGAGGTCCAAAAGCATGACCGCTGAGCTCGAAGAACTGGGTAAGACACCTTCAAACAAACACGCATGCTAGTCCGTTTCTTTTATTTGCCAATTTTTTTAAGCATGCTAACAATTTAAAGACGTTTAGTATGCTGCACTCTAAACAATCTGGGCTGTTTTAACTCAACGTTGGGTCAAATGAGGACAGTTAAAGTCAATTATTAGCCCTCCTGTTTTTTTTCTCCCCAATATCTGTTTAACGGAGCGAAGATTTTTTTCAACACATTTCTGAACATAATAGTTTTGATAACTCATTTCTTATAAGGGATTTCTTTTATCTTTGCCATGATGACTGTAGATAATATTTTACTGGATGTTGTTCAAGATGCTCGGTGCAAGTTTGGATAATTTGGCAAGTCATTGTATAATGATGGTTTGTTCTGTTGACAATCAAAAAATAAATAAATAAATATATATATATATATATATATATATATATATATATATATATATATATATATATATATATATATATATATATATATATTAAGGGTGGAGCCGAACCCGAATACGGTATTCGGAAAGGCACGAATAGCGTGTTTTTACGAATACTTGATTCGAACAAATACTTGAAAAATTATTTGTATTCGGGAGCAAGAAAAACACTATATCAAAAAGCAGCGTTTCCTCATGAGACCACAGTGCATGCCCGCGTGAGTGAGTGAGTGAGTGAGAGAGAGAGAGAGAGAGAGAGAGAGAGAGAGAGAGAGAGAGAGAGAGAGAGAGAGAGACACACGCTCAGTGCAAAACGCGCCAAAGCCCGAAACTGAAAGCGAGACGTGACTTTTAAGGGACTGTTTCATATGGATTTATTAATCATTCTTACTGTTCAGTGATCGCAAACTGCCGTAGTTTATTAAAGACGCAAACCTCTCACTGCACGTCAGCTGCGCGCCTTCAGCAGACCTCCTCATTCCTGCAGCACGAGGGCTTTATGATTGTTTATGCGCGCCAAAAGTGGCGGATCTGTCCGGTAAAATATCTGACTGCGTGTCACCGTATCCCTAAGGACTGTTTGGCGAAATATTTGACTGCATGTCACTGCATAACAAACGACTGAAACGATATAACTAGAGAAATCTCCACTGTGCCACTGTGCGTATGGCAAGCCGTTTTAGCATTTAAACCTTGTTCAGACTATCCATAAATATATTTAGAGATATCTCTAATTATATTTTGACTTGTCATAATTATAATTCAGATTGGAAATATCTGCAAATATATTATGACTGACTAGTCATATTCCTCCATGGACTTTCATTGAAAAATATTTGCAGATATCTCTAAATAAACAAACAAACAAACTTTGTGTCTTTTTTTGTGGCTGGCAGATGACAATATCAGGGCTGTATCTTTTAGTATTATATAGAATACTTTTGTTCTGCCAGATCTCCCAGGCAGGGTTTTATTTAGATTTATTTAGTTAATTTTAGTTTTAGGAATTCTGTCCATTGGAAAAAAAGTTCTTTCAGAAGAAGAACAGTTTTTTGAAGTATTATTTGTTTTTATTCTGTCTATTCAGTGTCCTTCAACAAGAACAGTGGTGGTGGGGTTCATAATATTCACAATGGTATTTTATTAGTTGTTGGTTTAACCATGGATGAGATAATGGCTTCTATGTTATTTTCTTTTCAATGACATTTCTTATCACATGTTCAAAAACAACAGCCAATATTGCATATCTATAATTTATATAATGGGTATAATTAAACAATACTTTCAATATAACGTAAATTAGAAGTGTAATAGAAAAAATATATATTTTTGCGCCATTTTGAATTTTACTCGAATACAAATACAAATACAAATACAAATACTTTTCCCCTCTCAACAAATACAAATACAAATACAAATACCGGCTGCTCCGCACATCCCTAATATATATATATATATATATATATATATATATATATATATATATATATATATATGTATATATATATATATATATATATATTGCTTAAGGGGGTTAATTAAATTGACTGGTTTTAAAAAAAGTAAAAACTGCTTTTATTCTTGCCGAAATAAAACAAATTGGACTTTCTCCAGAAGAAAAAATATTAAAGAAAATACTGTGGAAAAAATCCTTGCTCTGCTGTACATAATTGGGGAAATATTACAAAAGGAAAAGAAAATTCACGAGGGCAAAAAATTTGGATTTCAAATGTATATAACATTCTCTAATCCAGTTGTTTTTAATGTCAAAAATATTAGTAATCTGTTGAATACAAATAAATAATTAGATTCACAGAATTCTGATATCCCAATGCAATACAAGAATTACATTCAGGAGGTGCGCAACAGTTTTCATTTTCTGACTTCCACTTTTATAGGCAGCTGATATTAACAGGTGGAGTTTAGTGAAATTTGTCACTTGTCAATCATTCTCCTGTCCTCCATTGGCCGCACATCCATTAGCCATACGTCCTCTTTTTCTATGAATTCTCTGCACAACATTAAAAGCACATGACTTCTCAACTGCACATATTCTGTGTTCAGTTTTAACATATTTCTGCTCACAGGAAGTTTAGCTGCAGAGCTCAGGTTAATTTTAGACAATCAGGCCTTTGCATTTCTATCAGCTTCATCTACTTCTGCAAAAATGCTTCATTTGTATGCAAAGCATATTACACTTAACAGAAGTTCAGTTAATATTTCACCTTTAAGCAATACAAATACAATTGTTTAATGTAAAGAAAAAGAGACAAAAATAATTAAAAATATATTCATTTTCCCAACAATGTGTTGTCTATACTTGACCCAGCATTGAGTTAAAACAACCCATCATTTTTCAGAGTGTGTTAGCACATGAAACTCTCTGTGGTATAGGCTATACCTCTAAATTCATACTTCTGACCATACCTTCTAAAACAATCGCTTTACAATTGTCTTATTGCTATTTGTTTTAAATAAAATGTTATATGCAGTATTTATCATGCACCCTGCAGTATGAACTACACATTTTTGGCTTCAGTGTACAAAGATATGAAGTTGTTATTCGTATCCATGTGCAAGTAACACTTTAGTTTAGATCATAATAATAATTATATATTTTATATACATGTAATATGAGCAATATCACACGAGTAGCAGTGCAATAAGGCTGTATATCGGCACTGGTGGGAGACGTGTGTTGGCACGAGGTGTCCTGGTGTCCCACCAGGGATGATATACAACCATATGACACTGCTACGAGTGGGATATTGCATTTATACAGCAGTTCGATGGCATAATCTTTTAGAAACGAAAATCGTATGAGGAACTACTTTCTTCCACCGTTCATTCACATCTGCATATGACCATCAGAACAGCAAAAACCGTTACTAATTCACCGTCAATTTAGAGCCAGTATTTGAATGATTCTCTAGCATAATATCTAACGCGATGACAAAACAGGTGATTTTGCTCACGTTTTAAGATTATAAGACTGAACGGCTACAGAGTCTACAGAGATTTCCCAGTATTTCCCTGTTGCAATCGGGATATCACAATAATTACCCCTAAAAAAGCCAAAGCAAAGCAAACACTACAAAATTACTATGGTATAAATACAGAACTACAACATGCAAAAGAGAGAGATCGACTTATAATGTCAATTACCTGATTAATAATGATTTGTTTAGCTGTAGTTTGAAATGTACGCTGAAAAAAAATGCAGTTTTTCTACACTAAGAACTTGTTATGTAAGTCGCAGTGTTGTGTTTACATGAGCAACAGTTCGTTTGCAATATTGCCGAATTCCAATTATCAAGGCTTCAGGGTGCTTATCTACACTTAGTCATTAAGATTATGAAATATTTTATAGTTAAAATAGCTAATTTTACTTATTTTACTTTACTTATCCTATTTCGTTAATTTATGCACACACACTCAGATGCAACATGTTCTTCTTTTGATGCTCTTTTTGTTGTTGTTGTTTATTTATTAACTGTGTCATCTCCCTCCTGCAGCCATTTGGGCTGTTCAAAACATCAGCTGTCCTTTTCTCTCTCGCTCAATCTGTGCTCCGAGTTTACTGAGTTCATTACACACATTCACACAACGTAACACACACAGACAGACATTTGCTGCTGTGAGACTTTAATGGAGAAGTGTTGTGTACATTTATTTCATGCTCAGCCTCTGCAAGGAGGAGGAGAGGAGGTGAGTTGTGTATTGAGGTTTTTAGAGACCCCCTAAAAAAAATCACAGCAAAATTCAACTTGTGTATGCAACCATCCTCACCTCGCTCATGCTAGAATGTGCTTTATTTAGCTCTCTTCCAAAACCTAATAAGCTGCCTACCCAACCTGCATTTTTAGGCTTTCTCAAAGCACAAGCAGCAACAGTATGCTGTTTTTATGAAATACCATGTTTTGGAGAGTAAACTGGTATTAAAATAACACTATTATTTATAAAATGTTATTGCTACAGTAATTGTTCATTCTTATTTGATTATAACACTCTTATACTGCAAAAACTTATTTTCTGTTTTTGAGTTTTTGTCTTGTTTCAAATCCAAATATTCACAAATTATTTAACCAAGAAGCATTAAATATTGTTTAGTATTAAAATATTGTTTTAAAGATGTATTGTTTTGTTTTTAAGATATTGTATTTTTTTAATAATCTATTAATATAGCAAAATAATAAATGTCACTGGGGTAAGTAAAAAAATAGCTGATCTGAAACGAGAATATTTTACATTGGCAGATTTTTATTTTTAATTCTTTTAGGAAAACTAACTTAATTTTGGCAGATTATTTCTGAAAACAAAACAATATTTTGTACTTGTCTAGAAACTGCATATTTATTTAAGAATACACACACACACACACACACACACACACACACACACACAGTACCTGACAAAAGTCTTGTCGCCTATCCAAACTTTAGGAAGAACAAATAATACCTTGACTTCTAGTTGATCATTTAGTATTAGAACTGGCTTATTTGAAAGGCAATTGCCTCTAGATTATGCCTATTTTACCAAAATAAAATATGGTCATGCCTTAATTATTAATTATGTAATTAGGACAGTTAGGTCTGACTTTGCTTAGACAAAAGTCTTGTCACTTAAAACAAGTAATGTACAATATAGAATATAAAGGCATGGTGCAGTACGAAAGCAATGAATATTGTGCATGACTCCCATGAGCTTGGATGACCATACATCCATACATCTTTGCAATGACCCCTACAAATAAAGTCATCTGGAAGTCATCTTGTGATGATTTGGATTCAGTTCAACAGATGATTCATCAGAAAAATCTAACTTCTGCCACAATTCCAAATGATCAACTAGAAGTCAAGTTATAATTTGTTGCTTTTACAACTGAGATCAACGGCAAGACTTTTGTCAGGTAGTGTAGAAATAGATAGGGTTGATTGATTGATTGATTGATTGATTGATTGATTGATTGATTGATTGATTGATTGATTGATTGATTTTTTGGGGATTGGATTATTTGGATTAAAATCAAGACAAAAACTACGAAAAGCATTTTTCACATTGTATCGTGCACCAATTGCAAACTCACTGTGAAAACTCCATTGTGAGTTTCATCTCATATGCTTCACGTGAGGAACGCTATTTGTGTGGCATGTGGACTTTTCCAAATGAGTCACTTATGAAGGTCTATTTCAGTTTGGATGCTGCCTTAGGGACCGTTCACACAGGATGCATTCTGGGCTCCATCTGTGTTATTTTTTAATTGTTTTTCTTTGTAAACATCAACTACCTTGCTTAGCTTCAAAATAACATTAAAGAAATCATCTGGTGTGAATGGCACTGCTAAAGTAGATAGGCAGATCTGTAGATTGGAACTGAGCTATTATATTTTGTCATGCTCTACCATTTGCCAAAAATAATTGATGCATTGTGTCATTGTGTTAACTCACTGTCATCCATCCATCCATTTCCAACTGCTTATATGGGCTGGGTCATGGGGGGCAGCAGTCTTCCCTGCTATGTCATTAACATTTCATATTTACTTTGACTTTTTTTTAGTTCTTACGTGTCATCAAATTAGATCCATTTTCCCTGAGTACTTAAAACTTCTTGTATGCTATCTTGTATGGATGTGTAATGTAATGTACTGTGTGTTGTATCTATGTTTGTGTTTAGAAAGGTTAGATGAGATTTTGGCCTCTCAGGAGACAGTACTGAGGCCAAAGGTGGAAGCAGACTATAGAGCCGCCACGGTGAAGCAACGTCCTACCAGTCGCCGAATTACACCAGCAGAAATCAGTGTAAGATACAGTATGTGCAAACACATGTAAATTATCAGTGCCACTTCAACTGTGCATATACTTTGTTTTAATACAGTAGAGACTAAAATAGGTTTTGCTTTACTGCTGGTTTAATGTACTAGGTGTCAAACTCAATTTGGCGGAGGGCCATTTAAGAGACTGACAAATGATAGGAGGGTCATCTTACTATCTGGAAGTGATGCTTGTAATCACGTGAAGATCAGTACCGTGCAGAGACTGACGGGCGGTTGAGGGAGGGAGTATTGAGAGACAATCGCAGGGTGGGTGATGTCTGGTTAACGGTCGGGAAATTGGGTGGGGGTGCTTGTGGAAGGGCCTGTGGGGCTGGTTGATGATCGCGAACTGAGGTTGGGGGGGTACTGGTTGACGGAAAAAGGTGGGAGGGGGGTTCCGCAAACTGAAGAGTGGCCAGAAGGGTTTGTTGACGGTCATGAGCTGAAGGTTGAGAGACACTGAAAAGCAAAAATTGGGGGGGTGCAAATAGTGTTTGGGGGTGTTGGCGTTTGACGATTGCGAATTGAAGAGCGGGCGGGGGGGGTCTGGTTGACGGTCGCGAGAAAAATCTAATATTTTTGGTAGGGGGGCCAGGGCCGGTTGACGATCGCAAACTGAAGAGCGGGGGGAGGGGGATAGAGACACGATCGTGAACTGAAGAGCAGTATGAGTCCCCTGCCTTATATCAGTGATTCTCAAAGTGGGGGTCGGGACCCACCAAGGGGTCGCAGGACAATGAAGGGGGAGTCGCCTGGTGATTTCAAAAAATCTTTTTAGATTTAATAAACCATAAGAACTACTATAATTTATCCATAACCTACTGAAGAAAAAAAAAATAGTCGTTTATAGTAACTATATAGTTACTATAGTAGCTTATAGTTACTAGTTCTGTTGGATTGCAACCCCTGAGGTAATTACATTATATTAAAGACACGGCAATAGCGTCAGATGCAGCAGCTTGACTTTATAACACCAGGACTTTATAACACCAGGTTAAATGTTCTGGCCCGTTTACAGCACTGACATCCATAAAGAAAATAAATGAAGAATAGACTTCAGTCAATTGGAGTGTGTGCGCCATTGCATGCAAGGTTTCTGTATTTATAACCACCTCAGAAAATATTGGGGGTCGCGGGTCACTGGCATTGTCATTTTGGGGGTCGCGGGTTGAAAAGTTTGGGAACCCCTGCCTTAGATAAACAATAGCTAACACCAACTCTGTTATTATATAATTTTTTTTTGTCATTGGTAAATGTTTTCTCTGTTTTTGTGCAGTCTCTTTTTGAGCGACAAGGACTTGCCCTTCATGGTGCTCTTCACCCAGCGTTGGAAAAAGCCCACATGCAGCTGCCGAAAAGCATGGCTCGAACAAAGTCTTTTGGTAAGCCTTCATGAATCTTTTACATACAACTCTCAAACAAGCTCCACAGTTTGAAACAGCTGAAAAATATTATTCTCTGGTTTCTTCTATCTGTCTGTGCTTTCTTAAATATCAGCGTATTGAAATGCAGGACTTTGACACACAATAACGATCGGAATTTAAAGGAAAGTTTAGATGTGAATTATGTGAATTATTGTTATCATTCAAGCTCCACCAAACCCAAATACATTTCTATCTGTCTATATGTGCAGGAGCCACCGAAGAGGATCGACTGTCTGCCCTGGCAGCGGAGCACAGATTTCCACGAAGCTCCTCCATGACGGACAGCCTGAGAGACAGCCATAGTATCCCTCCACCTCCTCAGATGGCTCCCCCACCTCCTCCATCGCTTTACTATCTAGATACTGGACCCCCTCCTTCATTCTGCCCACCCCCTCCCCCTGGCCGCCTTCACGACCCCAGCCGTTCCAGTTTTAAACCAGGCTCTGAGCCGAGACTACATGCATTGCCTCAGACAATGTCTGCTGAGCTGTATGAGCCGCCTCGCCATGCCTCCCACATGGAGAGGCAGAAGAAAGCCCGCTCCATGATCATCCTGCAGGATTCCTCCCACCTCCCTGTGGAGCCTACTGACATCCCCAGGCCAGGTCCTGTCTCAACTCCGCCTGAGAGAATCAAGCGGAAAGGCAGAATCATAGATAACCCCTACGCCAATGTGGGTCAGTTCAGCGTGGGTATGTTCACGCCAACTCCCAGCAAGCCACAACGGAGGAAGAGCCCACTTGTTAAGCAACTGCAGGTGGAAGATGCTCAGGAAAGAGCCTCGCTAGCATTGGCATCCATCCATGCGAGGGAGCACTCTCCTTCTGGGCGCCTTGCTGCCCAGCACACCAGCAGGTCTGACTTCTTTCATCAGCAGCAGCAGCTGTTGCATGAACGCAGTCAAGCTCATGCTGAAGGACTGTTGCAAGGAAAAGGACCTTTTGCTGCTGCCATTGCTGATGCTGTGAAGGACAGAGAACGTCGTCTGGAGGAGAGGCGGAAATCTACAGTCTTCCTATCAGTGGGAACTATGGAGGGCAGTTCAGCACCACCCCCCGAGGCCCCCTCGCTCACACCATCCCGTTCTGTTGATGAACGAATGCTCACGCGTGAACTCGGTCAATTGCCTCCTCCCGCCTTGGCGTTACGTCCCTCACCTGGGGGCACCACCTTCATTCACCCACTGACAGGTAAGCCCCTGGACCCCAACTCTCCATTGGCACTTGCGCTGGCCGCAAGAGAACGAGCATTAACTTCCCAGAGTCAGTCCCCCTCAAGCAGCCCTGAGCCCAGAACTAAACATGAAACTGCTGGAGGGGTACTGTATATGGAGACCCAGACCAAAGAGGCTGAGCGGTCAGAGGGTGAGGGTGGGTTTGCTTCACCTCCCTTTTCTCCTGCAACAAAAAGAATTTACGAGACCTCCGTCCCCACTAGCAAGATTCAGTGGGGAAGTCCCATATCTACCAGGAAAGAGTTAGAAACAAGGACAGAAAGGAAGGAGGAGAGGAAAATTGAGGACAAAAAGAGTATGATCATCAGCATCATGGACACGTCTCAGCAGAAAACGGCTGGGCTTATCATGGTTCATGCAACGAGTAATGGGCAGGCTGTAGGGCCCAGTCCAGAGCGCAGTGTCCCTTCCCCTAAGGGGATATTGTCAGAAAGTCCCAAACCCATGTTGGCCGAAATTAAACGTGCAAAGTCCCCTGGTCCCGAAGCTCCTTCGATATCCACCCCACCACCCACCGCAGCTCCAACTTCCCAGCCCCCTCCCAGCCCATCCTCAGACAAAACCTTGGCTCAGGGTAGTTCTGAGGAGGATGCCGAACCCTATACAGTCACCTTGCCACCTGCCATGCTATCCTCCAGTGACGAGGAGACAAGAGAGGAGCTTCGTAAAATCGGTGTGGTTCCTCCGCCGGACGAATTTTCAAATGGCCTTCTTGCTAAGACTCCTGAAACTGCAGTACCTCCTGCTCCCACGTTGACGCAGACAACTCCTTCTACCTTGCCCTCAGCTCCACCCGCTCCACCACCCCCTGCTCCTACAGCAGCGGTCGCTGCAGCAGCACAGGTCCCTGCTAGCAGTGGCCTGCAAGCAGCCTCAGGGAAGCCATCTGAGTCCCACCTGGGCCCAGAGTCTGCTGCTGACTCCGGGGTGGAAGAGGTAGACACTCGTAGCTCCAGCGATCATCACCTGGAGACCACGAGCACCATCTCTACTGTCTCCAGCATGTCCACACTGTCCTCGGAAAGCGGCGAGCCAACAGACACTTACACCACCCACGCAGATGGCCAGACGTTCATTCTTGATAAGCCGCCAGTGCCTCCAAAGCCAAAGCTCAAGTCCCAGCTCAGCAAGGGCCCGGTGACGTTCAGGGACCCCCTGCTCAAGCAGTCATCTGATAGCGAACTGCTCTCACAGCAGCATGCGGCTGCACTGGCTGCTGCTGCGGGAGCCTCAGGCCCGGCCAGACCCCGCTACCTCTTCCAGAGACGCTCCAAGTTGTGGGGGGACACAGTAGAACCCCGTCCGCTTTCGGGGGCAGAGGAAGGCAAGCCCACTGTGATCAGCGAGCTCAGCTCCCGGCTGCAGCAGCTGAACAAGGACACACGCTCACTTGGGGAAGAGCCACTTGGAGCTTCACTTGACCCCGGACGAAAATCCCCCGTGGTCGGTCCAAGGTAAAGTGCGAATCCTACAGGAGAGCATTCAATTAGCAATTTTTCAAAATTTCTATGAAAAATGCTGATTTTGTCTGTTTATGATCCAAATGCAGTTTTCTATTGGTTAAATGGCACTGAGAATATTTACCCTGTGCAGTTATTTTTCAAATATGATTAACAGTGATTAATTGAAACTAATAAATCTGTAATCGTTAATATGGAATAAAAAGAACATAAACAAGATCCATTAAACATTCTCATAAACATCATAAAGAATGCCAAAGAATGTAATGCAGACAAGATTAAATGGGCAGACTTTTATCTTAAATAAAGCAAATGAACATCTTTAACCTTTGGAACGTGTTTAGAAGAAATGAAGTGGTAATGTCTAACATGCTTTCTTCATTGAGATGTTTGGAGCCCAAGAACAATCTCAGCATTCGATTTCCAATGGTAAGTAACATAGGATACCCTGATTTTACCAACCAACCATAGACTATGCGGATGCAAAAATACACATAAATAAGACACAGGAACAGTTTGAGATAAACTGATTAACTGCAATAAATAAGCTTCGTATAAAATCAGAAATGTAATGATTGTTTTCTGTCTTGATTTTTAAAGCACCAGCTATGTATCATTTTGCTTATATCCTCAAATACAACTGAAGTCCTTTATATCCCAACAGATGTGACAACGACATGGAAGACAGTAAACCTTAGCTTTTAGCCACTAGGGTAAATCAAATGTCATTCCTTTTATTTTCTATCCTTTGACAATCCACTAATCACACATTCAATCACTTTTGCTGGCATTGTTCTGGGTTTTATTAATCACTCCTGCAGGTTCTGTGTTCCCTTGTCCACCCTGGCAAATCAACTAAAAGTACAGTGTACATCAAGTATAATATATTAAGGGGCCATTTACACAACAAGGTTTTCAGCCAAAATCAGTCAACTTTTTATGCAATTTGCTTGTTTGTTTTCAGGACAATAGCATTTTGGATACTGAAAACACATCAATTTTAAAATAAGAAGTAGATTTTTTGGAAAACCCGCCTTTTCCTTTCTGTATAAACACCCCAAAATGGGAATTTTGAATAGTATGTGTTAGGTAAGGAGACATGCACAGTACATGTCAATTTTAAATACAAATGTGATTAAACATACACAATAGTGGCAGAGTGCATGGTACCATTGTGGCTGGTAAAAAGTTTGCTAATCACTTCTTCCACAAACTGTGGATTTTCCTCACCGATATTACAACAAACAATGGAAACGAATCCAACATAGGCTCATTTTGAAAACGTAGCCCTATATACATTTCTGGAGATCGTGAATCATGTAGCCAGATATACGCATGGCTGCTTTAAATTTTTTTTTAAAAAACGCTACAGAGTGGTATGACGCCGTTCCTTTCTGCGCTTACCAGATGACCGTTTACCTCCATATGGATCATTTTCCGACTTCTACCAGTTTGTCCAGTTAGCTCGCTATGTACATCTGTGGACTTAAGGTGCTGAGAGGAGATGACAACGACGAATCCAGTGAAGAAAGCAGGTAAGACAAAACTAAAATAAACAAGTAAATAACAGGGTGAGAATGTGGTAAAACGTTATCAGGCAAGAGCTTTTCTTTTTCTGAATTGCTTTTTAAATTTGTTGGTTGGGTTTATTGAAGTGGGTGGGCGACGCAATTTGTGCTTTTTAAAATACTATTAGTTGGGTTTAGGAAAGGGGGAAGGGTGGGTTAGTCGATCGGTCAGTCGAATCATTCAGTCAGGCAAACAGTCAGTTGATAGCACCCTCTGGTGGATTTAAAAGAGTAGAGCAGGCACTCGTGAGAGAAATTTGAGATCTCAAAAAGCGTACACAGTGGCCTCTGGTGGATTCTCAAAAACAGAACCTGCAAAAAAGAACAGAACCTTCCTCCTGGGACGTATTTGACGGTCTCCAGAAATGTAAATAGCGGCGCGTTTTTAGAATAAGCCTGGTTTGAACGAATCATATACACACTGCAAAGTTTAATCACACCAATGACACATTGTCACTTCCTTAAATGTTGTGTTACTGTTTACTACCGTGCATACGAATTACAGTGTTTTTTAAGTTTTTTTTGTTTAATATGTGTAAATGTGGATAATTTTTTAAATGTTGTGTATACATAAAAAAGCTTAATGTTAAACGTTTGTTTTTGGCTACATCATTGTTGTGTAAATGTAGCTTAAGTGTAACCATTTTGGCCATGCAGCTTGTTCAGTGTTTGATTCAACTCGAAAACGTCCTCAGTGACATGCTGTAAAACATTGTTTAAACTGGATTTGAAGTCCCTCTGTACATTGCCATTTGGGTGTTCACAAGGTAACAGATGGCTTCAGGGCATGCACCATCTCAAGCTTTGTCCCTTCACCTTCCAAATCTAACATTGTGAGCCTTTCCCTGTGGCCTACTCCTCTGTGGCACTGTGGTAGCAGTATGTATGTGTGACGTTGAATGGTATGAATATGTTGTTTGCATCCAGTTACTCCTTAAAGTCGCCATGAAATCAAAATTTGTTCTTCTTATTTTTGCATTAATAGTTGTGCTCATTATAAATTAGGTATCTGTGCACTTCATTGTTTTGTAAGGGTGTGCTCATACTTGGTACAGTTGCCTTAAACCATGCCGAAGCGCGCTTGTCCCCCCTCCTGTCTCCACTGATGGCCTGCTCTAACACAGCATTTTGCCTTCCGATTCAATGATGCGACTGTTCATTTTAACAGAAGAGAAGCGCTCTCGCACAGTACAATGGAGATTGCTTTAGTTATATCGTTTTGTATTATTTTTTTAGTAATTTGGGATGCAGCGACACACAGTCAAATATTTTGCCGAACAGATCCACAACTTTTGACACTCATAAATTATCATAAAAGCCATCCTGTTGCAGGTATTAGGAGGTTTGCTGAAGGTGCAGCTGACATTCAGGGGAGGTTTGCATATTTAATCAACTATGACAGGTCGTGAAAAGTAAGAATGATTAATAAAAGTGACGTTGCGTCTTCAGTTGTGCACTCAGGCACCATGCCAAAGCCCAACCGAACCACACCTTGCCACACCTCTTCCAACCAGACCAGGGCCAGTCAACTGAACCGTGCCAGGAGCACTCACACTTGTCAAATGAACCGGGAACTGTGCCCGGGCACGGTTTGGAATAGCATAGTGTGAGTGCACCCTCACACTATTATGATTATGAGAGCAAAATTCATTTGCTCTCATAATCTTTAAACAAATACCTTCTCTCCTCCCTCAAAATGACTTTTCTTTACTTCTGGTCGCATGGAATGCCTTTAGGGCAGGGCTATCAGGGTGTGTCCTGTTTCTGCCCTGCTTTTATTCATTTATAAATCTTCCTTCATTTTGTTAGGAACATCCATCTTCTGATGATTCAATTCAATTCACCTTTATTTGTATAAAACTTTTGAATGTAGATTGTGTCAAAGCAGCTTCACATAAAAGATCAAAGTAAATGGTAACGGTGTAGTTCAGTTTTCAGTGTTTAAGTTCAGTTCAGTTTAGTTCAGTTCAGTGTGGTTTAATAATCACTACTAAGACTCCAAACACTGTGGAGCAAATCCATCGATGCGTAGCTCTTCCGATCCCAAACCATGCAAGCTAGTGGCAACAGCAGCGAGGAAAAAACTTCATCAATTGGCGAAAGTGAAGGAATACCCTTGAGAGAAACCAGACTCAGTTGGGCACGATCATTTCAATTTCTCTGCTGGCCAAACGTCTTGTGTAGATTTGCAGTCTCAGCGGCGGAGGCTGAAAGCTGGACCTCAGTGAAGACTCATCAGTCCCTGGAACATCGCATGCTCTTCACTCCTCCATGACCACCACTGCAGCTGCTCAGGATATGGCCTGGTCCAGGATATGAAAACCTTGGGATCATATTGTCGCTGGTCTTGGATCGAATCAAGGACTCTGCATAGTCTGAGGGCCTCGGAATGAGTATCCCCAGGTGGAAATAGAGAATAAAGAGAATAAATAGAGTAGCTGCTGTTCATAGTGTATATTAACAAGATGCAGAAACCTATGTGGATGTATCATATAGCTAAGTGATGCACTGAGTGTATGTTTTACTAAAAAGATTGGTCTTTATTCAAGTTTTGAACTGCGAGGGTGTGTCTGAGCCTCAGACGTCATCAGGAAGGTTATTCCAGAGTTTAGGAGCCATAAATGAGAAGGCTCGACCTCCTTTACTTGACTTTACTATTCTAGCTACTACAAGAAGCCCTGAGTTTTCAGATCTTAAAGAGTGAGTTGGATTGTAGTGAGACAGACGGTTGATTAGATAAACAGAAGCTAGATTGTTTAAAGCTTTATAGGTAAGAAGCAATATTTTAAATGTAATACAAAACTTAACTGGCAGCTAGTGTGAGGAGGATAAAATTCAGTCAGTTCCCAGTGGACGAAATCATGCACCGCACTATTTTTTACTTAATTCAGGACCTTTTCATTTGGATGTACATCACGATATGAAACACAAATGACAGTCTTAACTTCCATTTCATGGCGACTTTAAAACTCATGTTTGTTCACTTTATTTGAATGTAGAAATAAAAGTGTATTCAAATAAACCAGCTTTTGACTGGATAATAAAGCATTAAACTAACATAATCATCACATGACTTCATCATAATAATAGTCTCTCATTCCTATCTATGTAGCCATGTTAAAAATGTAAACATTCTTTCCACTTCTGAGCATTTTATTTCTGTAGTTTTGGCGTCATTTTCATACATCAACCATGCTAACACAATGTTGCATTGATTGTTTATTTTTCATCCATAATTGTTCAGTTTGTTTTGTTGCTCAATTTTTGTTGCTCGGTTTGACTGGAATGCCACCTTACCCCAGACGAAGCACTTGTGGAAAAAATGAATTACATATTATAATTTTAAAAAAGTAATCGGTCATTTATAGAGTCTCCATATGTGTGTGTTCCACTATTGAAAGCTGACGTCTGGGGATAGCTGTGCTCTGGTCTGTGTCGCTATGCATTTGGTTTGCATTGGATTGACATTGTTGAGGATGTGAAGTGTGTTTGGTGTTTGTTTTTGTTCTGTCATGGACTGATGCTAACCGACCGCTCTCTCTCTCTCTCTCTCATTGCTCCCTCTCTCTTTCTCTCTCCATCTCTCTCTCTCTCTCTCTCTCTCTCTCTCCTATCTCTATTTCTCTCACTATCTCTCTCTTTGCATGCTACGCTGCTCTGTCTAGAGCTGAATCTGAGGCTAAGCCCAGAAGAACCGGGCACCTGTGTAAGTGCGCATGAATCATCTCATCTCTCTTTTTTCTGTCTGTTTCCACGAGCCCTGATCATCATCCACCCCTTCCGTTATGTTAATTTGGCCAGACCCCCCTTTTAAACCCAGCTTTTTCATGTTCCTCATTGGCTGCTTAATACTCCTCAATCATCAAATTACATCCCCAATAGGATTTCAAGAATAGGACAATAGTTTGTGTTTAGAGTTTACGTATAGGCTGCTTCAACAGGCATAATGATCAGAGCTTGCATATATATTGTTAAATGAATTGGCTATAGTATATGTAGGATATTGTAGTGAATGCATTCTTTAATTACATGCGTAAGCACCAGTAATGCAAGTAATTTGACGGTTGAGTCTGTCGTCTTCTTTTGTTTCCATGTGTTGCATGTTTTGTTGTGCTTTCAGTGTTCGGCTTGCAAAATGTGTAATTTTTTCAGTGTTATGCATTTAATAGCCATTTATTCAAACTCATGTAACCACCCTAGTTATTACCGTTGGTTGTTAACTAAGTAATTACGTCTGATTTTGCTTCAGTCGATACGGATTCGTGCAGAAGTAAAAAAACACTTAGAATTTGCCTAATGATAATTATGATATTTGTAAGCATCAAAACAACTTCGCCCACAACCCAACAAGACCACGCCCCTTTTGATATCATCACTACAGTAACTAGACTTACGCTCTCAGAAATAAAGGTATGCGAGCTGTCACATTTGTGCTTAAAGGGTTCATATTGGTACCTCAAAAGTATATATTAGTACCTACAAATTTTAAGAGGAACACTTTTGTACTTTTTAGGTACTAATACGTACCCTTCAGGTAGTAATATGGACCTTTAAGGTACAAATGTATACCTTTTAAAAAGGTACCTCCCCAGTGACATCTTAGAGTGTAATCACTACTGCAGTCTAAAGAGTTTATCAAATATTACTTAATGCACCTTTCCACTTTTAAACACTCTCAGTCTTGACAAGCTTAATAAATTACATTTATTGTGTATATGCATTTGTTTCTTATTTTAATATTTAATATTAAATTAATGTATAAATATTTTTCTAAAACTACAATAATATCTGCCTATTTAAATTAAAATTAAGCTTATTTTTTAAATTGTTTGTTTTACATCCTGAAACTAATCTTGGATTATTTAAAGTAAACTAATATTTTAAATTAAGAATTCTTACGTATTTTAAATTAAGCTTATTTTTGATCATTTTCCAATCAAAATATCTAGACATGCTGGAAACAACAAATTTATTACAGAAGCTTTTTTTTTGTGTATTTTTGTGTATTTTGTTTGACTGTATTTAGCTTAACTTTAGTTCAGACTTTATTTTGATGGTCCATTTGTTGAATTTAAGTTACATTGCTACATGCCAACAAATTTTTTTTTAGATTATAAGTAGACTGTAAGGTTGGGGTTAGGGTGTGTAAGTTGACAGGTACTTGCAAAGTTTCTTATAGTCAGTTAAATGTCTGATGAAGGAGCAGTATGAGCAGATATTAAGCAGAAAGTCTACTAATACTTAAATGGAGCATCAAAATAAAGTGTACCCTTATTTAATTCAATAAGTTTCAGTTTTGTCAATGCATTAGTTCATAATTAATTAATTGCAATGATTATTAATTAATGTTACATTGAAATAAGAAGAATTCAAAGATGATTCCTTGGATTTACTAACATTTTTATTAAATTAAGCGATTGTAAACAATTTATTTGGGCTGAATTTAGCAAACAAATTAAGTTGAACATTACTAAATTTAATTTGCTTATTTAAATTTAACCCATATTAATTGTTTGCAACTTTTTTGCAGACATCATTTTTTTTTTCAGTGTAGATAATAGTCCCTAAATAATATTAACAGTACAACCTTTGATTTTAATAATGCATTAGTAAATGTTGCAGTATTTCAGTTCTTCAGAAGTATTTTTCATGGCTTGCTGATGTTAACTAATATTAAAAAAGATTTTTACTTCTTTGATAGTTAAATAAGAAAAAATCTTTGCAATATCTATCAATCCATGATAGATATTGCAAAGATTAATGTCATCTTTGAAAAATACCAAATGGATTTTAGCTTCAAGTAAATCTAAGAATTTTAGATTTTTCACTGGAAAATGAGTCAAAAAAGATATTGAAATATGTCATCATTAATAGTATAACACTATAAACCCTACAAACTAAAATCTAAAGATTCAGCAATTCAGATTTTCTTTCATTCGATGATCATATAAAGGGTTTTCTTATTCTTTACTCCACAGGTAATACTTTTGCACTAAACACATAAATGAAGCATCTCACCAACACAATTTTAAAGGGATCGTTCACCCAAAAATGAAATGCTGTCATCATTCCTGTACTTGTTTCTTCTGTTAAACCCAAAACAAGATATTTTCAAGAAAGCTGAAAACCGGTAACCATTGACTTCCATAGCATTTTTATTTCCTACTATGAAAGTCAATGGTTAATGCTTCAAACATTCTTCAAAACATCTTGTTTGTGTTCAACAGAGGAAATCCAGCAGCATTTTTTGTTTTTGATGTGAATGTCTAGTAAACGTCTAAACATAGTCGTCTTGGCTAAATTTGAGCTGTCAGTGAAAATCTAATGGACTTATAAGAAAAGACCAAAACTAGACTAGTCATTAAATAAATAGAAATCAATGACTACACATATAAAGTCTGTCTATTTGACGACTAGTCTAGTTTTGGACTATTCTTAGACCGCCCAAGTTTAGCCTTGTTTTAGTCAAGCTACCTTCGTTTAAAATTGTGTGCTGGGAAGACACTTATAAAAGTTTACAACCACTTGAAGGTGAATAAATCCTAAATGTTCATTCTTGCTTGAACTATCCCTTTGATGCGTTTTCCACATCTATCTCCAAGCGTAGACTCCTAACATAGCTGATGCTATTACTAAAATTGGGTTACAGAGAGACCATTTCTCTAAAAACATTTTAATTCGACTTTCACTCTCTGCCCCCTTCCATTTCTCTTTCTCCCCATGTTTTCAACTTTTAGACTCTTCAGCAGTTTGGGAGAGCTCCATACTATCTCTCAGAGAGGCTACGGCACCACCTACACCATCAGACCAGGCAGCCGCTACCCAGTAACCCGCAGGACTCCCAGTCCCGGATCCCCGGACCGCTCAGATCCTCTAGGACCCATCCGGGGTTTCGGCCTGGCCACGTCACCGATCACACCTCCCACCATCCTTAAGTCGTCCAGCCTCAGTCTCCCTCACGAACCGAAAGAAGTGCGTTTCGTCATGAGGAGCTCCAGTGCACGGAGTCGCTCACCCTCGCCGGCCCCTTCGCCAGGCATGACCTCCCCGCTTCTCACCCTGCGGCCGTTCCACCAGAAACCCCTTCATCTGTGGAACAAGTACGACGTGGGAGACTGGCTGGCCAGCATTAACCTGGCCGAACACCGGGATCGTTTCCAGGAGCACGAGATCGAGGGCTCCCATCTGCCTGCTCTGACCAAGGAGGACTACGCTGAGCTGGGTGTGACACGTGTCGGTCACCGCATGAACATTGAGCGCGCCCTTAAACAGCTGCTGGAGAGTTGACCACGCGCCTCCCTCTGCCTGTAGCTAGTCTCAACACGGTTTACTTTTAAATTCCTACTTTATTTCATTTGGGGGGGGGGTTCTTGTGATTTCAGAGCTTTCAAGAAACACTCTATGTTTTTTTTTTGGAAGTGACCTGAAGTTAACAGTTGGGGTTTACCATTTTTGAAGCCTTTTAGCTGATCTCTGGGTCTGGCAGGAGCACTTTTAGTTTAGCTTAGCATAGATCATTGAATTGGATTAGACCATTACCATCTTACTCAATAAAAAAAACTGAAAATTATTTTTAATAAGCTTAATATTTTAAGCTTCTCGCTCAAAAATGACCAAATAGTTTAAACATTTTCCTTTTTAAAGCTTGACCTTTCTGTAGTTAAATTGTGTATGAAGACTGACGGAGAATTAAAAGATGCTATTTATTAGGTCAGTAAGTCTAAGAACTAATGGCCTAATGCTATTTAATCACACATGCTAATCAGTTTACGAGTTATCCAGAGTTAATAGTTGGTGTTTACCATTTTTGAATATTTTAAGCCAACTCCGGGTCTGGCAGGAGCACTTTTAGCTTAGCTTAGCATAGATCATTGAACTGCATTAGACCATTAGCATCTCACTTAATAATTTTCCTCCGCTATAGTTACATCGTGACTGATGGAAAATGAAAAGATGCTATTTATTAGCTCAGTAAGTCTAGAAACTATATCGTCATTTGGGTGTAATGATCAAGGAACTTTGCAGTTGTACCATGGCTGCAGCAGGAGAAAGAATATTACACAGTGTCTGAAAATGCTGCAGCTGCAGCCATGGTGGAGCAACAAAGTTCCTTGATTATTAAACGATGCTAATGGTCAAATCCAACTCAGTTACCTATGCTAACATTTACAAGTCACCTACAGTTAACAGTAAGGTTTTATAATTTTTTTTATCAATTTAGCCAATCTCTGTGTCTGGCGGGAGTACTTTTAGCATAGCTTAGCATGCATCATTAAATTGGATTGGATTATTAGCATCTCACTCAATAAAAAATTCAAAAACGATTTTTATTATTTTTTCTATTTAAAGGTTCTGTCAGTGCCAATAGCCCAGTAGTTAAGTGCGCCGACATATAACATGGTAGAGCTGAAGATCTTTGCCCAATCCTTATAGGACGGGGGTGGGTTTAGGTTTAATTTCTATCGTTTCAGGTGGGGTCGGGCCGGGCCTGGCTTGTGCAACAAATGAACCATGTGATGCGTTTCGATTAAGTAATCAAATCGATTGTTACAACATTAAAATCTATCCCTGCAAAAGTAAAACAAATGATGACTGAGAAAGAGTTAAAAAGAGCGAATTTTGACTGCGGTGAGGCCCGCCACCAGTTCAAAAAGATTAGTCATTCTAGCCACCAAGGTATTTCGGCAGTCACTCATGCACTGTGTATTACGGTAGAACGCTAAACAGCAATGTATGTGCAGCAAGCTGACAGGGAAGATGACGAGCCCACTCGCTGCATTGAAACTGCTGTCATGGAAAATGAAATTGATGTTCTTGGCTGGTAAAAGATGAAAGAACAATCCTACCCAAAACTTGCAAAATTAGCCAGATCAGAATGCTTCTTGGCCAGTAGCAGCAGCACTGAAAGGGTGTTCGGTGCTGCTGGACGCACCATCCTAAGCGAAGATCTGCGCTAAAGCCAATTAAAGTGGATTCAATAATGTTCCTCCACAAAAACACGTAGCCTAATCTTGATGAGTAAAGGGTTTTTAAATTATAAATAAATATTAATTAAACCATTAAATCATAACGTAGACAGAGTATAACGTTGGCATTAGGCTATTCTTTTAATATTCAGCTTATTCGTCACCTTAAAGCCAGCTTGTGAAGAGAAGTGGTGAAACAAATCCCACAGAGCCTTTATCTTAATTTCTTTATTGCCAAATACCCGTCATAATTTCACATGTATTTTTATTTAATTTGTTAAGAAAGACTTATTTTTATTGGTGTATTGGCCAATTTAAAGGCTAAGTGTATGTACCCAGGCCTATTTAGAGTGCTGAGATGATACGATGTTACAGAGGACTTATTTTATTTCTTTGTTCCAACTTCCAAGTGGCCTATAGCCTACGTTTGCTACGAATAAATAATGTTAAAACATATAAATGACTCATTCTCAAAGGCAAAAGAGCTGTGTGCATGAGCACATTTGAATAATGTCGGGCAATAAACGGGTTCGGGCTTTATGAAGCTGTCAATCAAAATGTACCTGTCGGGCTCAGGCCGAATTCTGTCAGACTTCAGGCGTAATTTTTATGGCCCGATTAAAGCTCTATAACATGGTGGTGCTCATAGCGACCTGAGTTCGACTCCCGACTCGAGGTCCTTTGCCAACCATTTCCCTCTCTCTGCTCCTAATACATACCTGTCTGTAACCTTGACTGTCCTATCCAAACTAAATGTGAAAAACCCCTTAAAAAATTATTATTAAAAAAAAAATATTGACTCTTCTGTAGTTACACAGACTGTGTACTCAGACTGACAGAGAACAAAAAGTTGCTTTTTGGGTCAAGAAGTCTAGGAACTATACTCTCGTTTAGGTATAATAATCAAGGAACGTTTCTGTCGTACTATGGCTGCAGCAGGTGCAATGATATTACAGTGTCTGAAAATAGTCCCCAGCTAGGTAACTAGGTAATGGCGTGCTGTAGCCATGGTACCACAGCAAAGTTCCTTGATTATAAAGCCAAAGTGAGAGTATAGTTCCTATATTGATCTAGAATAAAGCAACTTTTTATTTTTCATCAGTCTTAGTACACGATGTAACTATAGAAGAGTCAAGCTTTAAATAGTAAAATGTTTAAACTATTTAATCATTTTTGAGCGAGATGCTAATGGTCTAATCTGATTAAATTATCTATGCTAAGCTAAATGTGCTCCTGCCACACTCGGAAATCGGCTGACATAAACTCTATGGGATTTGTAAAATGAGCCTATTTTCCAAAAGAAAAAAAACATGGTGTTTCTTTAAAGCTGAAATGTGCACCTTCAATACTTTCTCCTAATTCTTCTCAAAACTTTGCTTTTTTTTTTTTTTTTTTTTTGAGCATCCTAACCAATCTGACAAACCAACATTTATCCGGGAAACAATTTCAACACTTACTTTTTTTATTAATTTATTTTTTTGTGCAGAAATCACACACTTTAGCTTTAAATTATCGCACTTTTCCTAAATCCATCATCAGTGGAGTGGGTGTTTGCTTTATGCTGTTTTTGTAGCACTAAGCCCCTCCCATCTCTGCCAGCAGCCAATCACCTGGGTGCTGTGTGTATTGGAGGGGCTGTGAATTTAACGATTGCACTGATTTTGTTCAAACTGCGCTCAGTTCTGATCTAGAATTGACTGATCAAATCGTATTTGCTTGTTCAGACAGTATAGTCAAATATCCAAGTCGTTGGGCAGTGCACCGACATGTTGCTTTGGCGTCCCAAGTTCAAATTCTGGTTTCCCCAACTTTTGTTCCTGTCTAGCGACTGTCCCATCACAATAAAAGGGCAAAAATGGCTTAATTTAATCTCTAAATATTAATAATAGTTACTAATGTCAAGTCACCTTCATTTCTAGCGCTTTATACAACATAACATTAGTCAAAGATGCTTTACAAGGATGGAAAACAACAGGAAAATAGACAAATGCTAAAGGCCCGTTCACACCGGGGCACTTTTTGCTTTTATTTTTCATCAAGGTTTAACGCCTCCTGACTAAACATAGGATGCTAATGTGATCGTGCACACCAACATGCAAAACAGCAGACGTAAAAACGTCATTTTTAAAGAAACGCTTAATGCTCGTTTCTTTGTGTCAAAAACTTCTCCACCAATCAGATTGGCACTTTTGTTTTCAAGCTAGTGGCTGCTAAAGTTACAGTAAACACTACTTGGAGGCACTGTAAGGGAAAACAGTTGAGGTGATCTCAGTTTCCTTTTTATTCAATGAAGAAGATGATGCACTGACATAGTTATTTACATTAGACCTCACCTATGGTATTGTTCTTTATTGGAGGGAATGCGACAATAGAGCCGCCATTTTAGTACAGGGTAGAGCTTCCTTGAAATGAATGTGGGAACAAGGTGCAATAGAGGACTGGCCATTCAGAGCCATAGATATGTAAACACATATACATATATCTATGACTGCTAATATGAGCTTATGGGTGGTATATTTAGACTCAGCTGTGTAGCAGGTGTAATGTTCAATTCACCCTTATTTCTATAGCGCTTTTACATTGTAGTGTCAAAGCAGCTTCACATATAAGTACTAATGAATTGAAACTGTCAGTCCAGTTTTCAAAGTTGAAGCTCAGTTTAGTTCAGTTCAGTGTGGTGTAATTTTCACTGCTGATAGTCCAAACACTGAAGAGCAAATCCATTGATGTGCATTTCAACAAGTCCCAAATCAAGCAAGCCAGTGGCGACAGTGACAAGGAACAAACTTTACCATTTAACGAAAGTGAAGGAAAAAAATAACCTTGAGAGAAACCAAGCTTAATTGGGCACGACCGTTTCTCCTCTGGCCAAACTTCCTGTGCGGAGCTGCAGTCTAGGCGCCAGAGGTTATGTAAATGGGATCTAAGAAGCATCCAGTTGCTGCATCTGCTCACATACTGAGCTCATAATGCTTTAAAGCATTTAATGCATTTATGCAAATAGTCTGTACTCATTTACTCTAAATGTGTACAAGTGTCGACATTCATTTAGGCAAAAACTGCTTAAAATCCAATTCAACAGTTCTCATTGCATTTAATCCAATTTCAAACAACCTACAGATGTGTAGCTTTTTCTTGTCCGGACTACAAAAGTGCACCAAAATCTTTGATTTGTGCTATCTGTCTGAACAAAGCCAATGCAGAACATCCCATAATTGATTCTTCTTTTTCATTGGCATGATAAACACCCACTAATCCCTTTGTTCCAAATTGTTTTTTCTTTTTGTTTGTTTGTTTCCACTTTACTCTCTGCTTCTTACCGCTGCATCGTTCATCCAGAAAAAAAAGGAGGGATGCTGTCGAGAAAAGGAAGTTCAGTTGCCTTTCAGAGTATTTTTTTAGGAGTGGATGAGCAGAGTGGGCGTGGCGGGATCCTCTCTGTCCACCGCCTGCCCCCTTCTGGCTGAGGGACGTACTACAACTCGGAGAATGTTTAACCAACACTAGTGGCTTTTTCATAATCAGACTCTTACTTTGGGTTTCCAAAGGAAATATGACATTAGATAGAATATCTCAATGTATTTAAATAGCTTTGAAAAATGGAGAGAGACAGCAAACAGGACGGACCGTGTGAAACGCACCCGTCTCTCTCCGTAGATGATTTATTCCACCAATAATTTAATCATTTTTACCAATTATATACATATATATTTGACAGAAAAAAGTATATAGATCTATGAATATAACATTTTTGTCATAAATATAAAAGTTATATATGATATTATATATATATAAAGACAAAAAACACTCTTGAAGATGATTTTTTGATGGTTCTCCTTTTAAGATGGACTGTAGCATGAAGCGTTACATCCCCATACGGAATGATGATTGACTGGTTTGTTCGATTTGCATTGTACCACCCTCTTATTTTAATTTCTTTTGGTGTATTTTCACAGAACCTGGTCTTCCATCTTTAATTGAACATCCCACAGTGGGGTGTAACCGTGTGTTCACAATGAGCCCTTCACACACACAAAAAA